AACGGTCAGAAGTACCAGAGGACCTTCACTCGCGCGCGCGCTCGTTTGGTCCTCTGGTACTTCTGACCGTTGCTGACCGTACCATTTTTCATATTTTAGTATAAATAGTTCAGTTTAGTACAAGAGAGCACAAGGTCTAGAAAAAAGCACTTTTCTACATTCTCCTTGGAAACCACTGAAAATGCGTTTGGCCGCCGGCGGCCAAGAGTAATATTCAATATAAACTTTTGGCCGCCGTTAAAAACGACTTTTAGCCGCGGGCGCCCAAAAGGTACTTTTGATATTACGCTTGGCCGCCAACGGAAAATCACTTTTAGCCGGCGGCGGCCAAGAGTAATACTTTGAAAATCACTTTTGGACGCCAGCGGTCAAGTGCAATTTTCCGTCGGCTGCTAAAAGTTAGGCGGCCAAGTTACCTATCCCCATTTGAAATCATATTTAAATGAGAATTTGATTCCATAACACACTCCTCTTCCTTGGAAAATAAAATTTTCCCAAAATTTTATTCAACTTCCGCACATCTCCCTTTTATTGGCTTCAGATCGGGTAATTAACTATTATTTGAGGTGTACTTATATGCTTCTTCTTCCATTTTTGTTGGGCACACATTAGCCATCTTTTCTTCGGAAAGCAAACGGCTGGTTATAAGTATTGCGTGAATTTCTATTCTTCATTTCCCATCTTTTCGATACTGTTCGGCATTCTTTTAGTGGGGAAAGAACTATCCATTTTTTAAGTAGTATTTTGACACTTGACAGCAGCACATCGCATGTGCCGACGGGTTAAGGAAAATATTGAATAAACGTTCTATAAACGATAAAAATCATAAAAATCAACAATTTTGATTAAAACCAGTGTAGTTTCACGAGTAGTTTCACAGTGAAGTTTTGTCTCGTGTTTTTTTCCGAACAAATTGCGAAAAATTCGATCGTTTGATTTGCTGTGTCAACCCAGCGTGTTTCTGCTTTTGCTGTGAACCGGTGACAGGTGTCGACAAACAAACACACATATCTCATAAAAAAAACCAGTTGGAACATATATTTTAAGTGTTTTTCAAATAGTTCTCGACCGATTGGTTGATTTCAGGTAAAATTACCACGATCAGGTGAACTGTTTTCGTTCGATTTGTGAATTTTGTTGTTCAGTGCTGAGGTCGTACACTCGACTCGTTGTTGCGACACACACCGTGAACAGCGACATCTATAAGCGAATAGATTATAGCAGTTTCTAACCTTAAACAGACTTTTCACATACACTCTTCTTTTCAATTGCCGAGTCAAATTTTCAGGTGGACACAATTCAATTCGAATATGGACGTAGCCAATACTGAAACTAACGACGAGAATCGAATCAAATTGGAGGCTGCGGGTGGTGGACACATCGAAAACTCAGCGCAAATGGAGTCTGCCCCCAATGACCAAAGTGTTCAATTGTTTTCAACAAAACTGAACCAAATACAAAATCAAAGACACAATAAATAGTCTTACCTCCGTAAGACGAACTTTTCCGCACCGTTTTCATAGAGTTCAGCTTTTATTCAGATTTTGCCTAAGAAATTTATAAGAATTTTTAGAAAAAAACAACAGTACGTTAATGTATTTTATGGAAAATTGGCTTAAGATTTACCACTCTTTCAAAAATGCAAAATAATCAAGTATTGAAAAAACTGAGCTTTAATCGAAGAACTGCAAATCAGTCAAATATTTGGAGAATGAACTTTGATTTTAATTAAAGCAAAAAATGTGGACGGAAATAATAAGCTATCTCGACAAAATGTTTAATAAGCAAGTTGAATGAACTGATTTTTTTTTGTTTCTTTTTTGATGAAGTTAGACAAAAGCTACCAAACCGAAATCAATTGGTCATTATTGCGATGCAACACTTGAAAACAAGTATCCAAAAACTTAGACAAAAACAAAAATGTGTGTATTATTTATTGTGAAAACAGCTGTAGTTTGTTTCGTATATTCTTTTGATGTGGTTTCGTAGTTCGCTGGTCTTTTTTAAATTATCTGTTTCGTGCTGATTGATTTTTAGATGGTATGTTGCGGGGTTGTGTCCCAAAATGATGGTTGTGGCGTATGCAATCGAGAAAATACCACAGGAACATCCATCTGGTTGCAACGTTACCGGTTCAATGAATTGATACTGTGCTCCGGGGTACAGGCGAGTGAGGATGTTTCGTTGATATACGTCCAATCTTTTGCCATGATTGCCCTCCCCGTGAAGACTGTATAGTGAACTGTGGTGTAATGGCCAAGAAAGCTGGCCTGGCCGCTGTATATTATTTGCAGATCGTCTCGTTCGGCTAGAAGTCGTTTGTATCGCTCTTGTTTTTGTCCATAGCAGACTGGATGCATATTGAATGGTATGGTTCTGTTTGCGTTCACCAAATTTATAATGAACATATCGATTGTCAAATCATTTAAGAATTCTGTTCCAACAATTTGATTTGTGATTGATTCTAGATCTGTATTCTTTGTAGTTTCACACAAGTCTCCGATTTCGCAGTAAAATCCATCCTCTTCCAACTCGGGAAAATCCACATTGTTGAGAATAAATGACACTTCAGAGACGCTATCACATTCGCTATCAGAATCACTATTCAATACCGATTTAATACCAAAAAGGTGGGTTAGCGGGTGCTAGGTTGTTCCTGGGCCTCTATTATTTTGATCAAATAAATCGAGTGGGAGTGATAAAATCCACCTGGGGAGCCTATTTTGGGTACCTCCCGAACAAAAGTTCGATTTTTCAAGGAATTTTGAACTAACATACCGATTTAATACCAAAAAGGTGGGTTGGCGGGTGCTGGGTTGTTCCTGGCCCCTATTATTTTGATCAAATTAATCGGGTGGGCATGATAAAACCCACCTGGGTAGCCTAATTTGGGTACCTCCCGAACAAAAGTTCGATTTTTTGAAGGTTTTTCATAGGCTAGGTATCCTAGGGTACATCTGGGGTGGCTGGAAATTTAATGGTTTCCAAGTCTAACGAAGCACAAACGTTTGGTACTTGCAGAATTTTGTTTCCTATTCTGGTGTTTGAGTAATCGCGCTAACAAATTTTTGCGTACAGCGTACAGCGCACAGCGTACAGGGTACGACACACCCACATTAATATAGCAAAATAACCACTGTATCGTGCTTTTTGGTGTCGAAAATGGATAGAAAAATGGTTTTTCGGGGTACCAAGGTTTTAGAGTGATTACAATACTTTTACTCACGACATGGGCGTGCGAAAAAGTAATAACCACTGTATCGTGCTTTTTGGTGTCGAAAATGGATAGAAAAATGGTTTTTCGGGGTACCTAGGTTTTAGAGTGATTACAATACTTTTACTCACGACATGGGCGTGCGAAAAAGTAAAAAAGAAGGGAAAGAAGATTTAACGCGCGTAAACGATATTCCGCGCAACAAAGCAATGAAGAACGCGTCTCTGAACAAACCTCACACTGTCCACCGACTTCTTCGATGTCATACACAAGCACTCCAAAGGCGACCGACATTTCATTACACCCGTCTTACACGTGGAGTAGTGAAAGTTGTTGGCACCACAGCTACCGCAAGTGATTGGCTCGTTAGTATTGCTGACAATTTGAGTGAGAAGGTGGCGATGAAGTTGAAGGTATGCGAATTTAGCAAGATTCCACACCCGACAACATTTCTGGTCTTCTTTCCATATGGTCGGCAGGACAGTGACCGTTTGCTCTGCATGTTAAATGCATGCAATTCAACACTTCCTGATCTCAGATGGAGCATTGCCCGCCGTAAAGACTCGGATAAGGGCACTCATCTGTTGGTCAAAGTGAATGAAAAGATCAAAAATATAATTGTTGGCAACAACAATTCATTGCATTTCGGGTTGGGCTCGGCTCTTTTTAAAGAACTTGTGCCTAGATCTCAACCGACAATGAAAGCCCCTACTCACCAAACGGTGAGTTTTACTGTTAACACTCATGCGTCAGACGATGATGAAGATTATCTCGACTCAGAGACGCTACAAATGTTTAAAGACGACAACGATTTGACAGTGAGAGCCGCACCATCAACTTTGTTGAGTGGAAACGGCACTCAAAGCCAATCTCGTGTGTTCATTAAACCATCCGTTCTGGGTGATGCCTTGGCACACAAAGACAGTCTTAAACAAGACGAGTCTTTGGTAGCGCCAACATCTGAAATCAATTTACCAAATACTGTAAAGGATATAGAAAAGGCTGAGGGCGACGGGATGGACACAGACCAAGGCAAAGCCCATGGTCTGGCAGCTCCACCCGACAAATAGTGTATGAACCTTTGCGTGGGAGTTATCAATTCATACGTTTATTGATTAACACACTCAATTGAAGTTTCATTCACACAGTTTTCAACCATTTCAAAACGAAAATATCAATTGATTATTTCCCGTGTGCAAATAAAGTGACTGACAGTCATTCAGTTGTATGTAGCTGCAAATAACTAGAACTGGCTAAGTTGATTGAATTCAAGAATGTTGTAAAGAAATAATCACTTTTAGTTATTCTTTCAGCCATCCGTCTAATTTCGGACTTTTTGGCTTCTAGATGACTATAACTGAAGTTGACTACAGTCGAATATTTTGTTCGAGATAATCACTTTTAGTTACTGATAGTCAGCCAAAAATTCCGAAATTAGACGGCTGGCTAGTCAGTCACAAATTTTTCACACGGGTTTACTATTATTAATATTATTATCAACATCATCAATATAAATCGATTTTTCGATTTTTAATCATTTATTTTATTTTAAAATACTGTCCATTTAAACCAGTCATACCTCGGACCTGAAAAGATAAAAGAAAAAACTCCAATGAAAAATGTTTGTGCAAGATAATTCAATTTGAAATAAACTCTTTTGAATGAATTCATTATACCTGCACAAAGGTTATACATTCACCATCTTCAAGTCCATGTCTTACGTGGCATTCGACGAGGCCTTTTTCTGCTCTGGATATACGCTTCACTCGTAATGAGTTTTCTGGCAAATTTTTCAGTTCATCCATTTCAAAACACTTTGATGTTTTGGTTTTAACTTGAAAAAAAAAAAACAAAGAGAATATAAATAACAAAAAAACGGGATGCTCTTATCTGCGAATAAAAATCTTCATATCAACACAAAAACCACCCATTTGCCGAGAAGAGCGTGTGTGCGTGTATTATATGCGTATTTGCGGAGCAAAACAATACAAATACCCAAAAGAAAATATCGTTAAAAGAGCAAAAATGTACAATTGTTTTCAAGGATATTTTATCTTAATTACATGCTTTCCATGTGTGTGCTACAGTTCAGTAGGAATGAGAGAAAAAAAACAACAAGTTATAATAGCAACAAAATGATGAGAGCATTTGCTACGAGCTTGCACACCAATTTCTCAATTTGTTTTTTTTTCATTATCAATCATTTATTTCAATTTTTGCTTGACTATTTCTATTCTTTGATGGTAGGTCCAACACAACATGTGCAAAATGCAGTTGACCGAACCAGCGCTAGTGCTAATACCATCACACCCATTCAATGGTGTGCATCAGTATGGACAAGCGTAAAACAACTCAATTTGCACCTCAGCATATGTGCAACTGCACTCATGTGCAGTTCGCTTGATGGGTGCCATACAAGAAAGTAAAATTCAATTTGTTTGTTGCAAGAGCCCTATACATTGGGAGATCAAGTAAAAGGGTTCGACGCAAACAAATATAACCTCATATATGATAGAAAAGACAATTGCCGACCTTGCATGCATTGTAACAACAAAGGGACTGGATGTAACATTTATGCCACAATTCAGTAGCCCAGACGTTACGACGGCCCTTTTGAAGTCTGGCAACGATACATTTTTAATTTGCTCTATATATTAGGCCCATGACTCGACGGAAGTTATTCCAGGGAATACGGTCAAGGACGTAGTGAATTATGCGAATCAAAATAAAATTCCACTTATTAGGGGAGACGATGCCAACGCACATCACACCGTATGGGGAAGCACAGACAAAAACCAAAGAGGTATACACCTCTTAGAATTTCTTGCGTCAACAGACCTAGCGATTCTAAACAAGGGTAACTCGCCTACTTTTATTACAATAAATAGATCAGAGGTGTTGGACATCACGTTAGCATCTCAATCGATACTTGGACTATTGAAGGATTGGCATGTGTCGGACAAATATTCTCTCTCCGATCATAGAGAGATAAACTTTAAACTAGACATAAGCAATTCGAAATCACAGAAATTTCGCAACCCAAGAAACACTAATTGGGTGGTTTTTAGGAAAATATTATCACGTAATATTTCCAAAAATCAAAGCAAATTTGTGGATATAACCGACACGAACAGACTTGATAATGCAGTTGGTTGTCTTACAGATGCAATCAATACGGCATTTGTAAAGGCCTGCCCGGAGTCGAAAAATTACAGTAAAGGTAAAAATTGGTGGAACACCAAACTGCAAAGGCTTAAGGAAGAGTCAAGAAGGCTTCTTAGAATCTATTTAGCTAGAAAAGACACTCCACAGGGCCCAGTTTGTCATGAGGTTCTGCGTCGCAGTAGAAACAAATATACTAAAGAGATTATAAAAGCAAAGAGAGATTCCGAAAGGAATTTCTTCAGTAGAGTCGAAGGTGCGAGAGCTACCGCAAAACTACACAAACTACTTGCCACTGACCCAACACAAGGGCCAGGTATTCTAAAACGACCTGATGGTAGTTATACCGAATCGTCTGAGGATAGTGCAAAATTATTACTTGACACGCATTTTCCAGGTAACTTACCTGGAAAAGTAAGCCATGCAGAGCAAGATGAGGCTGATCCGATTAGACCAACTCCAAATGTGAACGAAATCAATTTTCTCTTTCGATGCATATAAATCTCCGGGTATTGATAACATTTATCCGGTTGTGTTACAAAGGAGATGGAAAATATTTGGGAGGGCCGTGGAAAAAATTGAGTTACATCCCCAAATTATGGCAGGAAATAAAAGCTACTTTTATTCCGAAGCCAGGCAAAAAGGATTACACATCTCCTAAGTCGTTTAGACCAATCAGTCTGTCGTCATTCCTTTTAAAGGGACTTGAGCGACCGCTTGATAGACATTTGAAAGAAAAGCTCGAAAGTACGAACACTTTGGATGGAAATCAACACGCTTTCCAACAAGGGCGTTCTACTGATACAGCACTCCACAGCCTTATTTCTAAGGCTGAGTACACACTCGCTAATAAAGAATATATGATATCCACTTTTATGGATATTGAAGGAGCATTTGATAACGTGACGTTCGAAGCAATCAACAATCACATTGTGGATTGCGGCGCTGGCACGGCGGTGAGCGCGTGGATAAAATTCATGCTATCGCACAGGACAATAAATTTCTATCACCAAGGTGAAAAAACGACAGCTATCGCCACTAGGGGCACGCCCCAGGGTGGTGTTCTGTCACCACTACTTTGGATAATAGTCATGAATAGTCTATTAAAAAAACTACAAGCACATGGCTTCGAAGTCATTGGTTACGCAGACGATCTTCTCATTTGTTGCCGGGGCAAATTCCTGAGTAGCCTTTCTGATAGGACACAAAACGCCGTAAAATTGGTGGAAGATTGGTGTCTCGAAGTGGACCTCAGAGTGAACCCAACAAAATCTGAAATAATCATTTTTACAAAAGGCAGGAATCTAACTGGCTTCAAAGAACCAATTCTTCTTGGAGATAGAATATCGAGAAAAGAAGAGGTGAAATATCGTATATAATAGGTGTTTTTATGCAAATGACTTACATGATTTCGAGGATTTTGCGGAATGCGAACCATTTTTGTGTTCCTGAAGAGATAGAAGACAGATACTTCATGCAATGTTCTAAAATGTTTCAAGATATTCATTTTTTGTTGAGAAACTATCCTTCTTTTTCTCACCAGGAACGCATATATGATTCCCATGTAATTAAGCGCATTTGACTAATCCCGTTTCTATAATAAACAACACATATATGTATATGTACACTAGCTGGACCCCGCCCGCTTCGCTGGGCATAAAGAAATGAATAATTAAGACAATATTCACTGTTTAAGTACTGCTATTACGTGTTCAATACACTCATCAATATAGTTCCGAAGCGTTGCCGTCAAAATGTGCGGCGTTGTTGGTTTTACGTTTGATCGCAACCATCCCGGTGCAAATAGAGTTGAATTTTGACTCTTTCCTATGTTTTGTGGTATTGAACACAACCTCCCTTTGATTCTTCGCCAAACCGGCGCTCATAACAACTCTTCCTCATCTTAAAAACACTATCGACGATTTCGAACATCAAGATTGGCCGGCCTATGGCCCTGTTTTTCTGATATGCACAGTGCACACCCCTGATGATATACACACACATTCGGTGTCCCCCAGAGACTCTCTTCCTCTCTTTCTCTCTCCCTCTCACGCGGGTCGCGTTCGTTTCGTTTCTATGGTCTCACTTCTGCACGCGCGCCTCTTCTTTTTCCCAACGCATTCTCTGTATATGTGACTGATGAGTTTTTAAATTTGTCTAAATATTTCAAAACAAACGATTGTAATTTCTCACAAATTCAATAACGAATTCAGAAACAGAATAATAACACAAAGAATATCTGGTTTTATGGAAAAACAGTTCGAACAACAATGGGAAAAATATCACTTTTTTTAAACGGCTATAATTTATTTTTGAAATGTCCAAAACACATGGTGAATAGTTTATAAATGATCTACTTGAGGTCCCGAACACAGCACAAAAATAGTAATGGATTATCTCCAGCCAGCAGCTCAAACACTTGCCGAACACAATAACTAACTTGCATTTATATATATATATGATGACCCTTCATCACGAATTGAACAAAAAAGTACCCTTAAAGTAAATTCATATCATCACTGTGCACTCCAACATCACATACACTGAATCCTCTTGGTGCACACGTATAGCTGTTGTTTTGTTTCATTCCATCTGAACAAACATAAAAGTGATGTGTTGGGCTAAAGCTGTTTTCGAAAATGATTATTCGTTTGTTGTGCGACGTTTTGCTCTCATTAGGAGCATCATCAGGCTGGAGAACAAAAATGTACACAAAAAACAATGAGTAAGTGTTAAAACAATTGGCAACAGCCGAAAAATACCAAATTACGAACCAGTTACATCTGAATTTAAAATGTTTTCGAACGTATTCCATTTTTTCTATCAATTTCTACAAATTGTATCAGCTACACGTGTCCATCAAAGGAATTTTGTTATTGAGCTTCATTTAGTATCTGAAAATGATTACACTATAGAAAGTGCGTATGAACTGCAAAAACAGTGGCAGCAAAAACAAGATGTTCGTGTTTTTCGCTTCTTTCGGCAATCAAGCAAAGATATACATATATAATTTTTGTTGGTGTATGAATGTTATAAAAGAGGCAACACCGCATAGGGAAGACCAAATGAATTCAAAGGATCTTCTAAAGAAGTACAAGACGGTTCTCTACTATCATTGTGCAACAGGTCAAAACTCTATTTCGTTGGCAAATTAAAATGAATCTACTACACGGTTGGTTTTCAGTGCTATTTATCGTTGAATTTTCGGTAAGTTTTTTCTATTCCTTTATCATTTTCACTTTTATCCAATAAAATACGATATTTCTGTAGAACTGAAAGTTAACACAAAATTTCTCTTTCTAGGAATTTCAAGGAAAACGTAAGACACGGTTTTTTGGTTTTCGAACACGCTTTTTACAATTCCAAAAGATTGTTTCATACTTTCATGATATTCAATTCGAAATTTCAACTTTTTTTCTAATGAACAGATGGTTTTTTCTCGCAAGCTCTTCTCAAGGGCGAAGTGATTGAAACTATGTCACAGGCAAAGTTTGTAGCTGGAATCCATATCCCCGCAAGTAAGTCTGCTTTAGAATCATTTTCATTTCTTTTTCGTGTGAATTTTTGTCCGAAAAATTCAAATATTCTATCAATTTGGCTAGGGGCTGACCACGCTTCGAAAATTGATTTTATCATTTTTTTCAAACAATAATTATTTTAAATAATTTATTTACGACTGTGAAATTTTTCGATCTTTCTCCAGAAACGATTCACTGCAAATGATAACTCTCAATTGTGCGTTGTTATTAAAACGAATATGCATTTCTGTTGGTTCACTGCCAGAAAATTCATCACATTGTCGTGGTAAAATGTATCGTTCATAGTGGATTATAGATTTAGTCAAATATTTGAGTCAACATACAGATGGTATTAAAACCGAGGTTTCCCCCTAGCAATTTTGTGTGTGTGTTCATTTTTTCTTTAAATATTATTTCTTGTACTGAGAATGAAACGATTTTATTACAAAATATTTGCATGAATACAAAGAGCATCCAAATGAGGCCAATAGAAAAATGATGAGTTTTTGTACCGCATTTATTCTGTCGAAAACGGAAATTATCACGAATGCCCATTGTGTGGATGACGCTCCATATGTTTATGTGGTAGCTGGTACGAAAGCTGTATCAGATGAAAACCAGAAAATTAAAATCAAAGTCGAAAAAGAGAACGTTGCATATCACCCTTATTATAGTCATTTAATTGTTGGTGCATTTGATATTGCCAAAATTACACTGAAAACGCCGTTAAAATTCAGCGATACCGTTGGTAGTATCGAACTCGTGGATAAGGATTACAAATTGAATAACCCATCAGAATTGGTCACTGCCTATGGATATGGCGTGTTGAACAATATCAGACCATTGATATTGAGGCGTTGCGATGCGAACTATATGTCTGATGCCAAACGAGTCAACACATTTAACTTAAGTCAGACTTTGTACTTTACAACTGGTGAA